TATATATATATGTATATGACATGAAATTGGAACAAAGTCACACAAAACTTGATAAAAAAAAAAGGAATCCATCCCATCAGCAAACCAAATTTCTATTCACTCGAGTTCCTCGTAGAAAAATATGAAAGAATCAAATAAAGAAGAAATCCAAATACACTGAATGCGATTTATACTTTAGGAAAACCAGTAAATATTGCTCAAATTCTTCTAACGAAAATCGGAAGTAAATTAAATACTCCCTCCTGTCATTCTTATAACATTCAGTCACCTAATTTATTAGAATTAAGAAAAATGTTTGATTGTTGTAAAAAAAAATGTTTAATTTGATTGATAATACTAAATTTATTCTAAATTTTTTTTTTTCAAAACTATCTGACACTTCACTCCACCAATTACTTGTTAAATGGAGAGTAGTTTTTATAAAAATAAATAAACAACTAATGTGAGACATTTTGGGTTGATTGCTCTTAAAAAGGATTAAGCAACGCTTTAAATGTAAGTTTTATAAAAAAAAGGAGAGAAGGAGTAATGTGGATCCTCCCATATTTATTACCAACACCATGAAGTTGTTCTGAGAAATAATCTCACACAGCAATCCCAATGTGAATATTCAATACCCAAGTATTGGAAAACTCAACTTTGATTACAAAGATTTACAACACGACACACAAATATGACATCCACTCCTCATGCTTCACCATTCTCCGATCAAACCGTAACTCTATACATACAAATATATCAATCATATACCACAAACTCATGTACACCATACACAAATTAATGCCCCCATCACAATTTAGACACTAACACCCACCCCAATGACCAAAAATCCAAAACCAACAAACCAACATCAAAAGAAAAGAAGAAAAAAAATTGCTTAATCGATCTCCATGAATTCAATTTCGTAGCTAGGGTACAGGAAGAGCCATGCAGTTTCTTCACACCCTTACTAATTAACTACATGTCCCTAACTTCGAAGTAGTTCTTGTTCTTGACGACTATGTCATACATGTGGATGGACCTGAACTTGCTGAAATCCCTTGGGAGAGAGATTAGGTGAACGGTGGAGCGTTTGTGGAACTGAAGCAAATCAGGGTCATCGTAGTAACGCTCCCACCCCAACGAGTTCAGCTTGTGCTCCAACACTGCATACGAGGTTATGATTTCATTGCTCGCAGTGTGAACCAACACCTTCCTTTCAGAACCAGGGTTCTCCACTAGCCTCACCACATGGTTCTTGAAAACCCATACCCCAGACATAATTACCCTACAACAGCAACAACAACAACAACACAACCTTGAGCAAACTCAAGAAGAAAGTGTTTGTTTTTGAGTATTTTATGAGCTAGTTAGTGTGCAATGCTTGATGGGGAGGGAAGTATGGGGTGTTGATATATATATAGTGGTGAATTGAAGTAATTAATGGGTAAGATGGGTTTTTTAATTTTTTTATTTTTAATATATGATGTAGATATATGTAATACAAACTCTATGGTGGAGATAAAGACAGTATATAAGGGATGTGAGTACAGCTAAGGTGGGACCCACCAGAGGGAGAGAGTATACTAGGCTTATACATTTGGAAGAGGGGGGGGTGTTTGGGGGGCTCATGCATTTCATCACTCTTGGTCTTAATCGGATTGGGGGAATCCTGATTCCCTTAACCATTTGTGGAGTACAAAGTATTGTTACCCCACTCAAGAGAATCTTTGTTTTATAACAAGAGAAACTTATTCTAGAAACAAAATTACAGGGTAATTAATATAATAAGAACTTGGTGTCAACATATAATATATATATATATATATATATATATGACAGTTTAAATATGCACACAGAAAGCAGTAAAAGGAAGGATTTAAGAAGAAACCTCTTGAAGCGTGCTTTTATATATGTATATATATATATATACATGAACACACTACTACTTTCTGCTTATATATACTAGCCAGTTGTATAATTAATATCTGCACATGAAATATAGCGACTTATATATATAAGCTCATTATTAATAATAATCTATATATATGCATCGCAAATTAGTGTGATTAAGTGTTGGTGAAGAAAAAATAATGTGTGAGAGAATGTGGAAATATATCATTTGGGCTTGGATATGGGTGTGGAATAAGTTTCTTTAATTTAAGAAGAAAGGAGGATGCTTGTGGCACGGTAGACTCAAGTGAATAATATGCTCTTTTGAAAAAGTTTTCCTTCCTATGGTTTGTGGGGAGGGATATCAGGTACATAGTGGGCGTGGGGACCAAAGATGAAAGGAATTGATCTCATTTAATTCTGATCGTTAGGTGTGGAAAACAACATTGTTGATTTTCATTAGGAAATTCATGCTTACGCAGGAGGTTTTCCAACCATTTAATTTGTTTTTGTTTATGATGCCTAGCTAATTGTTACTTTAGGTAAATTAAATTTGTTTGCCTAATTAGCTAGTGGTGACTTTCTTGTGTTTAAGAAGTTAAATTCAACAAAAAAAGAGGTTGAATTTTTTTTCTTCCATTTTTTATATTGAAATATACATGCTTTTTCATTGAATATGATTTTAAATTAATATATAAAGATATGAAATTAATATCTAAAGATACATTCAATCGCCGGCCTTCAGATCATGTTATAGTATATATGAAATATTTTTTCCTTTAGAGTTTATGTTATTAGTGTAAAATATTTGATGACAAATTCTTTTGGTCAAATTCTTTTGGAAGACTTGACTGACTAGATCTTTTCTATTATATAGATGTTTTTTTATTCATATAAGATTTGAACCTAATATTTTACTTAAAAAAATAGAATTCAATTTAATTCCGATTAAAGACTTTGCTATATGAAATATCTTTAGTCACATGTTAATTTGTTTCTTATGATAATTTCAACGGCAAGAAAAGAAACTGCAGAATATAAAGAAAGAGAAATGTGACATAAAATAAATGATGTAATAAATAAAGATAAAAGAAAAAATATTGTAAAAATGTTGTAAAATTTATGGAAAGAATGTATGAAAAAAATACATAATTTATGAGACAAAAGGTCAATGGGTGATAGCAAGGAATAATAATCTTTTTTTCTCCCCATCAAACCAAATCCTTATGTTGAAATCGTTATGAAAGTGACTGTATGAACCATATCCTGTTGCAGCTTTCTTTCCAGCTATATAGGGAATGGATTAGGTTGGTAGCTCGTTTTATTATTTATTATTGTTATTTTAATTTATCATGAGGCTGGTATAGCTCGTTTACTAGCTATTGTAATTTATTTATACACTTATTATTTTATGGTGAAACTTATATTATTTTTTTTATCTTAAAATTGTTTTTAGATAAATTTACCTAGACAGTTTCACTGTATTTGTCTTGCGGTGCTAGACATGATGTTAACCCTGGTGCTAGTCGTGATTCTGAACCTGATCGATTGTGATGTTGATCTTGGTGTTAATTCTGATCATGGTGATGTTAATCATAGTGCTGATCTTGTTGATTCTGGACTTGTATTGTGATCATGATCACAGTTATAATAAATAGTGCAGTCGGAATTATGATGATAGACCATAGATTAATTAAAAATGTTATCTGTGTTCATATGTTTGTGAATTGTTAGCTAGGGTTGAAGGATCATTTTCCCATAGAATTTTCTGGAAGATGGGGAAATAATGTGCATGGAGGAGGCAGTGAATAAAAGTGGAGCTAGGTAGATTCCAAGTCCTACAAATCATAGTTGAGCCATCAAAGTTGTAGGCCTTTAGGACACACATGATCTTTAACCCAACACCATGGTCGTGACTCTGCATCAATGAGCCATCTCCCCCCTCGTGCCACACGGTCCTGTGATTACGATGCTTAACTATACTCACCAAAATTTTATTAATTCTCCATATATCGTGACAAAGATTTTGATGGGGGCTTCTCCTTTAGCTTAAATTCCTTTTGATGCCCATTGGACCACACTACTGTTTTCAATTTGTAATGTTCTGTCAATTACTTGATAACTCCGTATAATCCAATTCTCCTATATATAAAACCAAACTAATATCAATAATTTGTCGCCTAAATTCTCCATATATATATGCATGGCTGAAAGGCACTAATGTGATACAAAATTTCTTCTTTTGTTCATTAATGTCATTCTTTTTAACAAAACTATTATGACTTTTTAGATATTGTTACAATATACATATGCGCCGGTCAACAATACTTAGACCTCGAAATTAAATACTTTACTCATTTGAATAAGTATTTTAATTAAGGAGTATTTGTTTAATTAAATATATCAAAATAAATTAAAAAAAAACTTTAAAATGTCATAAATAAGTCTTTTTTATATAAATAAATTCTGTAAAAAATCTTCCAAATTTCAAATACTTTCTGAATTATTTAATTTTAGATAGAAAGTAAATTAAAACCATACTATCCTTTTCTTTATTGTTTTTCAGTAACCCTAGAACACATATTATAATGGCATAAACAATGACATGGAAAAATTTGTTTGAGTCACTCATAAATAAGTATCCAACTCAGACAAAATACATATATATGTATGTATCCACACCAAAAATTAATTTTGGCATGTTGAGCTTTCTTGACAAGCTATGTCAACATTACCCATTACTTTTGGGATTTTGCCCATATTTATTTATGCAATAAAGTTATTTGGAGAACATATGCTTAACCACCTTTCTCTACATGCTTCTTTAATCCCATGTAAACATTGAGAATCACGAGGGTGTTGGCTCCACAGCAAATGGAAAACACCCTCCCCCAACACATGTATAGAACATGCCCATGTGATTGTTCGTCCCATATAGAAAAAGCCAAAATCATAGTCCTATATTTAATAAAACAAGATACTTAACCGTATCGGCATCCTTCATATATGTCTTTCCATATCGGCCTCTCCTTTTAAAAGGAAGGGTTCTAGTCAGTCATTAAAGGGAGTTGGTTGGTTAGGGCTTTGCGTCATATAATAGGTTGTTTTCTAACTCGTATCAAAGATCAGAAATACTTGCATGCCACTCTTGTCATATACCATTATTTATGAATACTTGTGTTTTCTCACAAATTACGTTGCGAAATAAATGCGTGAAAAATAAAATCAGTCTAGTATAATTTGAGTCAAAATACATGAGATTCTAACATATTGTGTTTAGGGTGACAAAGTGCATCGTTGTGAGTTGCTTTACCAACTCGCCAAAAATTGATAAAATGGGATAAATATTCTAGTTTGTATGACTCTCCAACTCGCTGGTAAATAGTGGGATGAGATGAATTGGTTTGTTGGTTCATTTAATTTTTAAATAGTATTTTTAATTTATTTTGAATCTTATGATGTGTGTGTAGAATATTAAGGTTCTTAAATTCAATTCTAAAGATTCTCACGAAAGTAGAGGAGACTTCTTTCAATGGTACATTTAATGCTCTTGAAGTAGAAGATGAGAAGTGTTTTTTTTTTAATCATTTCACAACATTATAATTTCCTGTATGTTTATATTTTGTGGATTTTGTAGACTTTATGTTGTGATATAGCTAGTCTTATTATTAAAGGATTATTGGTATTTAAATTATGATTTTTAAGGATTATTATATTTTTATGTTGTTGAAAAATTATTGGTAATGGTTTTGATTGAAATTAAGAGAAAGACTTTTAGTAATTTGTAATTTGTTTAATATTTTGTATTGTAGTATTAAAGTTGAAGGACAAATTTATGTTGAGTCCTTTAAAAAACTTATCAATAATTGTAAAAATAATTATTAATTTGAATTAGTAAGATTTTCAATTCACTTTCAACAAACAAATTAGCTCGTCCTACATCATTTTTGGTGAATTAGTGGTGGGGTGAGTCAAAATGGGTTGAACTGATTTGTTTTCCCACCCCTAATTATGTTGGTTTAGGTGAAAAGAAGAGGAGAAAAAAGAAAGCAAGGAGATTAAAAAAAATTCCTTATTTGATAGGACATAAAAAAGAAAAAAAAATGTGGATTTCATTTTTTTATTTTCAATTTCTATTGTGGAAATAAAAGGAGAGAGAGACAAAGGAAGAGACTTATAAGAGTTTAATAATAAAATTGTCATTATTTGTTATAAATTTTTTAGGTTTCATTGTACTTTTAGTTCTTTTATTTATTTTAATTCACAAATTTGGTTACTTTATTTTAAAATAGGAACATCTAATTTCCTAATTCTAAAATATTGAATTTAGACCCTTGTGTCAATTTGACATTCATTGATAATTAAGTATTAATATTAATTTGTAACTTGATATCACTACTTAAGGATAGAGAATATTATTTAATTTAAATTAATCTTAACTAATTAGATTAATAAATACATGTCATTAAATTTATACATGTTCTAATGTATAATTTTTTTTACTGCTAA